CCCACACGGGAAAAGGGTGGTCAAGAAATGCCAAGCCTATTACTATTACGAGGAAATTCTTAAATCGATAATGTAAATCATTGTCTAACATGGAATCTTGCATGCATGCATAGAACTAAGAGACAAACGTACATAACAGACAACGGACGCAAATAATATACTGGCGATCGGACACAGCCCTACCTACATACAGTTTCTTCAAACTAGATAAAACGGGTCTTTGCGTGATAACGGTGCATTTTCCAGCGAGTCTCTGCTAACGGTGGCGACGACGGTAATTACAGAACGCAGTCAGAAGCACTGTAGTCGTAGAATACACGCTGCACACTCAGTCGAGCACGATACCAATCAATTACAGAGTTTATCTGTTCAATATTCGTAACTTGTAGAAGGAGAGTGGTCCGGGTGGATTCCCTTGCACCGTAGTACACGTCCGTAGCCAGCAACATAAATTAGAAGGCACATCCAGTTCAGAACCAAAATCGGGAATGTCATTCACTGGCGAGTTTCCCCACTCGTTAACTGCAGTAGGCCGCAATTGGCCAATAGAATTATCTTCATGATGCACATTCCGTACATCACATTACATTATTTTGTATGACAATACACAGTGCATTGTTCTAACGTTACTTGCAAACGCGTGATTAGTAGACATGTAAAAATTGGTATACTTGACAGGCTGCCAGCACCGGCGAAACGACGTCCTCCAGAATAGATCACAAACTCCCATGATGCAATATTATTTAATGGCTTACTGTGGTACCTACAAGATCGGACATCCACATTTGATCACATATGAACGTTAAGATCAGGTTCTATCAAAGTCCGCTTCTCTAGTACTGACTAAAAGAAACATCTTGCCACTCTATATATATTTTTATATTTAACAATTATCTATCGCCAAAAACAACATTGCCTATCTATCGCCGTAAGGCAAACACAAAACACCACCATCAGGACATACAACATAAACATGATTTAATGTTTGACATTCGTGACACCCGATATCATTCTCATTTTCCAGTTAAGTGTTGAGGCGGACAGCGATGAATATGAGCCAGATAGTGAAGCAGTGATTACCGTAACTGGGGATCCTGGTACTCGTGTAGGTGTATTAGCAGTTGATAAGGCTGTGTACTTACTCAATGATGCGCATAAATTGACAGCACAAAAGGTATGTTGTAGTAGTTATCACATTCATATGTTGAAACACAAGTCTTTTATAGCTATTGTTTACAACAGTGGTGACTGCTTTATATAACAAATGGCTTACAAGTATACAACTTTAAAAACATTTCCTCTGGCACCGAAATGAATACGATGCTCAGATCGTTTGTTCGAGTAAAATATCTTAGACCATTTCATTATTTTCATCGTATCACTGTTCTCATTATGTGCTCAGGCCTGAGAGGGCTTGTAGACACAGCGCATCCAACACACCATCACAATCGATTCATACAGACCACTTCTGCTGATGAATACTGGCTTCCACTAACCGCTTGCCACCATATCAAAGTTGAAAATGTCGTCAAATGTAATGAAGCGATTTGTCTCAAACACAAGGTCATTGGAAGTGTAAGGAGTCTACTGAAGTGTCATACTGGTGCATAGCATCACCTTCGCTCGTTTCTTTGCTCAACCTCGCTTTATTGGTAGTCACCATGCTGGTTGCCTCTATAGCACAGTTGGTTCTCATTCTTCGTTATACAAATAGCAACTTCATTAATTTCGCAGAGTTCCGTCTCTCATTTTCTTATTCTCGTTGTTCAATAGTTTTTTGAAACTTAAACCCGGGGGTGATCTTTTGTCATGAATGTTTTTAGTCCCCGTTCGGACGGAGTCCGAAAACGGGGACTTATGTTTTGCCCTGTGTGCGTCCGTCCGTCCGTGCGTCCGTGCGTCCGTGATCACCTGTATCTCGAACATGCATGGACCGATTATGTTCAAACTTCACTCATACATCACACATTATATGGGACATATGCACATGCATTTTTTTCATGATCGGATTAACGATAGCCGAATAGCGGCCATTTTAAGGCCGAAAATGCATCAAAATCGCACATTTTCACCATTCCGGACCCGGATCTCAGTTATGCATGGACGGATTTCGTTCAAATTTGGTACATACATTAAACATAATAGGACCTTGATGCACGTCATTTTTTTTCGGATCAAGTTCGAAATGGCCGACTGGCGGCCATTTTGTTTTAAAGAATTCAGTTCTGGATCCGTATCCGAGACATGTCTGGATTGATCAAGTTCAAACTTCACACACACAAGGTACATCATGTCACAAATATGTATGTGCATTTGTTTCATGATCCCATTAACGATAGCCAAATGGCGGCCGCTTTAAGGCCGAAAATGCATTGAAATCGCACATTTTCACCATTCCGGACCCAGATCTCAGTTATGCATGGACGGATTTCATTCAAATTTGGTACATACATTAAACATAATAGGACATTGATGCACGTCATTTTTTTTT